AGGTAGTTTTAGGCCGTCTTCTAGTTTTAAATAGCATTAATCCATTTTCTATTAACATAATTTGGAATTTCTTAAAATCATCTGTTTTCTTTTTTTTTTCTTTTGTTTGACTCTTCTCATACGCCCGTTTTCTATTTCATGTAATAATAATAACTTATTTATGAAATAGAATTGGGACTGTTTCGATATTTAAATATTATTATTTTTTAATTTTATAGAGTAAAATATAGAAAAATACGAGTATGTAAATCCCTAGTAAAATAGGGAACATAATTCGTAGAATGAAGCATCCATAAATTGTTTGACTGTCTGGGCATAAATTCAGAATCAAAGATTATGCTAAGCATACACTCGGCAAAGTTTTTCGTAATTAACGTCGTAGCAAAGTCAAACTACGGTCTATAGATCTCAGCCTTAGTCCTGAGTGGTGAGAATATATCACGACCGTCTAGATTGGTGGTCAGCGAAATGAGAAGTGTAAAATAGCAGCTTAATGCTGCAGTGTTTTGAAACAGAGACACTTAACTGGAAACGAATCATTCCATCTTAGTTCTCAGGGGTGACAATCCATCTGGATTTTGATTCTTAATCGAGGATTAATGTGGATGTCTATGGGCCACAACATCCACTTAACATCAAGTAAACTGTGTGCTCGATTGCCACTCTTATTCCATAAAATAAAACACCATTAAATGGAAACCTCAAATTTAGTTCCTCCATCAATACTAAATTTAGATCATTGTTGAAATCATATGGTCTTTTTAATTTATTTTTAGAGCCAACGCGTATTGCTCAATCTAGTGCAACATGTATAGATAACACTTTTACAAATGTGAAGCCGTTGCATAAATGTACAATTCAAAAATTAAGTTCTGATCACTGTGGACAAGTACTATCGTTACCTTATGTTCACAAAAAGCAAGTAGATGAGAAAGTTGTGTTTGTTCCAGTAAATGCATGTCGCTTGGAGTAGTTTAGAAGTAACATAGTGAAAAAACTTCCATCACTTTCATACCAAGATGATCCTAATTTTTTGTATGGAACATTATTTAAGCTTATTTGCAATGAATTTAATAGTACTTTTACTTCTAAAACATTCTCCTTGAACAGTCGGAAGTCATTCAATGAATGGGCGACGGTAGGAGTCCATAAAAGCAGACATAGGTTATATGATCTTTACCATGGAAAGTCATATAATCATAGCGTTGAATTTAGGGAATATGTAAAAAAATATTCAAAAATATTTAAAATAGTGTGCTCCACAGCCAAGTCTTTACATGTGAGCAACAAAATTAAAACGGCTTCTAATAAAATTAAAATGACATGGAGTATAATTAATAGCGAAACTGGTATGATCAACTCTCGTAATTCAAACTACCAGTTCAGTATCAGATCAGGACGTTGCAATGGTTTTTGGGAAATATTTTGCTGATATTGCGATATTAACCATTAAGTCACTGAATTCTTCTCCTGCCATCGCCGAATCATTACTTAAACAAAATGTAAATGCGTGTACAAAGAATTTTACACTTCATAAAGTATCATCAAAAGATATTGTAAAATATTTTAAAACTATTGATATTAAGAAAACTGCTATGTGTGTGGGGGATTTCCGTTAAAGTTATTGCGTCTATAATAGATACAATAGCCCTTCATTTAGCTATTATTTTTAATACTAGTATCGAATCTGGTGTGTTTCCTGATTTAATAAAGCATAGTAAAGTAATACCTTTATTCAAATCTGGTAGTACATTAGACCACGCTAATTTTAGACCTATTTCTGTACTACCAACACTTAGTAAGATTTTTGAAAAAATTATTCTTGATCAAATGTTAAATTTCTTTAATATAAATAATTTACTTCATAAATATCAATTTGGTTTCACAAGGGGTCGCTCGACAACTGATGCCGGTGTTGAGCTGATTAAATATATCTTTAATGCATGGGAGAATTCACAGGATGCTTTGGGTATATTTTGTGACCTATCCAAGGCCTTCGATTGTGTTCACCATGAAACATTAATCAGGAAACTTCAACACTACGGTGTAAGAAGTGATGTTCTTAAATTAATTATTTCATATTTAAGTAAGAGAACGCAAAAAGTTGTTATTAACAGTATGAGCTCTTCCGGGTCGATGGTACAAATTGGCGTGCCTCAAGGATTAATTCTCGGCCTCTTTCTGTTTCTTGTATACATTAATGACTTACCCTACATAGTAGAGGATAACCATGATATAGTATTATTTGCAGATGACACTTCTTTTATTTTCAAATTAAGTCGACAATTACTAAAATATGACGAAGTAAATAATGCTATATCTAAATTAGTAAATTGGTTCAATGTTAATAATTTGCATTTAAATGGCACTAAAATGAAATGTATGATAATCATGACTCTAAATGTCAAACAATTAAATACTAATGTAATTTTAAATGGGGAGGAACTGAGTCTTGTAGATGCCATGCACCATTTTTCTTGGAATCACGCTAGACGCGAAGCTTCAATGGAGCCCCTATATATCAAAACTAGCAAGCAGACTTAGTTCTTTTACAGAAGAGGGCCATAAGAGCAGTTTATGATTTATAGCCTAAAGAGTCGCTGCGACAAAAATTTAAGGAAATTAATATATTAACTTTGGCCTCTCAATACATTTATGAAAATGTAATGTACGTACACAAAAATAAAAGTAGTTTTACAAAAATAAATGATATTCATTCTGTAAATACTAGGAACAGACACAAGCTAATAGCACTGTAAGTAACTGTACTCGACTCCATCGAGTCAGTAATTCATTCTTGGGACGATTTATACGTTTTTACAACAAAATCCAGAAAATATACAAATTTGACCTGCTCAAAGTTCAAATACTCTATTAAACTAAGTTTGTATAAAAAGGGTTATTATAATATTAAAGAAATGAGGTGATCGCTACCATGCTATATCTAATTTGTTGTGTTATTAATTTGTGAAACATATATGATTGTAAGCTGTTATTTTAAAAAAAGTATTATTTATAATCTATATTGAATAAAAAAGTTTCTGTTTCTGTTTCTGTTTCTCATACAATACCAACGTAAAATAACATCGTAAAACGGCTGTTTCGTATGGTGATTGTATATAAACGAAGACTCTTTTTACTGGAAATGGAGCATTCCATCTTAGTCCTCATTGGTGGCAACGCATCTACATTTTGATTCTTAATTGACTATTAATGCAGATGTCTATAGACTCGGTTCTCTACACCCATCGTACGAAACACTGCTGCTATGTTTCATATGGTGAGTGTAGAGAACCGGAGAACCCTTTTACTTTTATCTTTTACTGGAAAAGGTGTATGCGGTTCTCTACACTCATAATACGAAATATCGCAGCATTAGGCTGCTTTCACGCTGGTATTCTGTGAGAGCGCGTTCCTTCCTTCGAGCCTTCGACCAAGATTGTGCTACAACCATAATACAACTGCAGCGCGTAGCAAAGAGTGGTGGTGTAAAAGAATCCACTACCCTCTATTATCCCATGGGTATCGTAAGAGACGACAGAGGGCAACTTTATACGTGGTAGAGCCATGCTGCAGCTATATTAGTAGGTAGTATAGTTGTAACACGAATGGGTCGGCTCGACCGGGGAAAGACCACGCTCTCACAGAATACCAGCGTCAAATAGCAGCTTAACACTACTGTGTTTCGTATGGTGAGTGTAGAGAACCGGAGACCCTTTTTACTGGAAAAGATTCATTCTATCTTAGTCCTCACGGATGACAACGCATCTGCATTTTGATTCGCAAACGAGGATAAATGTAGATGTCTATGAGCCAAAGCAACCACTTACCATCAGGTGGACTGTGTGCTCGTTTGTCACCCTATTCTATAAAAAAAACTAAAACAGGAAATGGGCAGCAACATCTTCCTGATAACAAATCAAAATATTAAAAGACTATGGTTACCGAGTTTGATGACTACGGCATGAGTCAATCTAAGGTGGAGGCCTATGTTCAGCAGTGGACTTTTGACAGGCAGTAGTGAATGAATTGAAAGTATACATAGCTTCTCTCTCTCTCTCTCTCTTCTTATAGCCATCTCGTTTACCCCAGATGTAAAATATCTAGATCAGCGATGTGGAGTAGTAACAAAGGTGCGTGACTTCTGGTACTGCTATCCATACAAACAAATGAAATTGATGTGTCTGTTTGTAATGTCAAAATAACAGCTTTTAACTAAATGCATATAAAATTATATACAGTACTTATAACAAAAAAGCCAGTATAAAATGTTTTGTTTGGGTGTCTGTTTGCTTGTTCCGACTAATCACCGGAATGTTGTCACTTAGGCCAATTTTATTTTAGAAAAACAGTTTATTTTAGCAAAACCCTAATAACTCTACCAATAATAGACTTTTGCGGGATGACGAAGAAGAAGATAAGCATATAATCCTATAAAAATCCTTAAATTCGCAATAAAAAATTTTGAGGGTCATTTACCGATATAAAAACTATCCTATCTCTTAAGTTGGACCAAAATGCACACAGTGTGCAAAATTTCATTGAAATCAGTTCAGTAGTTTAGGAGTCCATCGCGGACAAACAACGTGAGACGTAATTTTTATATATAAAAATATATAGAATTACTAATACACCTATATTCTACCTAGATCTTGTCACAAGCGACATGAATAATGTTTTGTAACACAAACAAAACAAATTAATGCGACAGGTTCATTAAATTCACTTCACTGAATGATTTTTAATTTTATTTTGCCAGGCATACGCACTTTTTGTTTTCAGCAAACCCAAATTACTTTTTAATTTTTTACTACAGATAACGTACAGACTGCGAACGTCATAATTGCCCGCAAACTCGCAAATTAAAACATGAGGGGCTTCCTTTATTTGTTCTATCCTGACACGTATAAATACGCATTTTCCCATTCTCGGAGCATCAGACGCTTCCCAGCCTCCAAGATCTAATCACGAGAAGCTTTGATAGTAATAAGCACAGCAAAATGTTCAAAATTTACTTGTTTTGCTTCCTCGTCGCCTGTGTTTGCTTAGTCACAGAAGCTCAGTTGACATTCACGTCGAGCTGGGGAGGCAAGCGGTCCATGATGGGAGCCATGCCTTGCCGGAACGATGAGGCGATCTCCAACATTTACAAAATGATTCAGGTGAGTACTTTTAGTTTTTTTTTATCTTTTTATTATGCAACATGTAGCAAATACCATGAAGTTCGCGTTAAGTGCATTATCAAATTCAGTATTCAATCGTATAGAAATATTTTTACTTCAGAAAACTCTTGTCTTGCGTATGTGGACTATGAGTAAGCCTTTGATTCTGTCGAAATTTGGGCCGTGCTGCAGTCCCTTCAGCGGTGCCAAGTTGACTGTCGATATATCGAAGTGCTGAAGTGTTTGTACAGTAGGGCTACGATGGCTATCCGAGTACAGAACCAGAGTACGAAACCTATGCAACTGCAGACAGTACACCTCTCGGCAGTTGCTAGGTTAGTTAGTTAGAGTTTCGGGGATATTACATCCCCGAAACTCCTCACCGCTGCATTAGAAGACGTTTTCAAGCCACTGGACTGGAAAGGATACGATATTAACATCAATGGCGAGATTCGTTGGAGGACCTAATTACTATACTCAATGACCTCAATAGAGCCTCCCAAGGGATAGGTCTTACGATGAACTCGGACAAAACAAAGATCATCTCTAACTTCCAAGTTACACTTATGCTAGTGCTCCCAACAACAAACGAAAACCGTGTTGACAGTGTGGACTTGGATCTGAGGATATGAGACGTGGTCCTTCACTGCTGGTCGTATCGGGACGCTCAACATCACCCAGCGAGCTATGGAGAGGGCTATTCTCGGAGTTTCTCTGCGTGTTAAACTTAGAAATGAGGATATCAGCAGTAGCAGAGTAACCGACATAGCCCGATGGATTAGTAAGCTGAAGTGGCAATGGGCCGGCCATGTAGCTCGAAGAACTGACAACCGATCGAGAAGAAAGGTTCTCGAGTGGCAGTCTCGTACCGGTAGACGAAGCATTGGGTGGCCCCCCACTAGATGCAGTGATGACCTGCCAAGACATACAGGAAGTCGATGGACGCAGTTGACTCAGGACCGTGCTTTGTGGTATTCCTTGGGTAAGGCCTATGTTCAGCAGTGGACTTCTGAAGGGCACTGTTAATAATCGTGTATGTGCACGACTTGAACGATTGACGTCATATTCACCAAATATTTTTGTCGTGTTGTGAAATTATTAACAAATACCGTATTTACGGATCAAAATGACTCAAAATTCACAACAATTTGGTTTAGTGTCAAAAATGAAGATCTCTAAAAGAAGACCCGATAGGTAGCGTGGAGACTGTGTTCGAGTTATATTATCAATTTTATATTTTCTCTGTGAAAGTTCAGAGCCAAAATCAAAGTGAAACTGAAATAATAACTGAAATATAAACTGAAATAAAAACTTTAAGAGAAGATATATCTTCTTCAGGTTGTTTTCATGAAAAACAGTTTACTAATTAATAATTCACTTCGTAACAGTTCCTAAGACGACGATGAGTAACGTGACAAACGTGGTAACAAACAAACTTACAGTATGTTTATACCTACTTGATCTTAAGTGGGTTCTGCAGCCCATGGACACTTGCAACCAATTTCAAGCAAAGAAGGCTGCATATGCGATGTCACCTCTGAGAACTAAGATGGAATGTCTCACACGCTCTAATTATACTGTCTCTATTCAGAGCAGAATACAGTATTGCAGGCACTGCCATCAGTGGCAGAAGTAGGTAAAACCTACCCAAACGAACTCCTACTACCTAGAAAATCAGCCTAACTCAAAAGCGCTCCTAGTTTCTATCCCCGCCGGCATAAATAAAATTGTTAGTTTTAGTTTTAAGTGCTATTTTACCACTGCTCAATTTAATAGCTACAGTAACATAAATTTTTATATATATATATATATATATATATATATATTTTTTATAAACCACACTTGGATTTTCTCCTGTATCGTGTGGGGAGTTAACAAAAATAGATAATTAATAATTTTGTACGACCGACTTCAATGTAAATTATTAAGAATAACTCAAAAACTATTGGTCAGACCTTGATCAAATTTATATGGGACCACATGTGAAGCACCAGCTTTCAAATAAAAAAAAAGAATCATCACAATCGGTGCATCTAGAAAAAAGTTATGAGGTAACACACATTAAAAAAACATTCAGTCGAATTGAGAACCTCCTTCTGTTTGAAGTCGGTAGAAAAAAACCGAATAAAATTTGAACTTTTAATAAAAGGTAAAAGCCGACGTCAATGATCTAACTAAAAATAATTAAATATTTAACGCCTGGTTCTATTTATTATATATTTTCCACATAATAGGTTCAAGTAGGGAAAAGTGTGATTTGCAAGATAATGTTGTGACCAGGATTAAGAAAGGAATGCTTCGGTGGTTTGATTATGTAGAATGAATACGAGGAAAGAGTGACATAGCAAATTTATGTTGCAGAAGTAAAAGGCAGAGTCGGGAAGGGACGCCTAGACTTTTTTCTAATAGGATAGGGTGACAAACGAGCACACAGTCCAACTGATGGTAAGTGGTTGCCGTAACCCATAGACATCTACATCTATCCTCAATAAAAAATCAAAATGCAGATACGTTGTCACCCGTGAGGACTAAGATGGAATGCCTCTTTTCCAGTAAAAAGGGTCTCCAGTTCTCTACACTCACCATACGAAACACAGCAGTGTTAAGCTGCTATTTTACGCTGGTATTCTGTGAGAACATGGTCCTTCCCCAGTCGACTCGACCCATTTGTGCTACAACTATACTACTAATATAGTTGCAGCACGGCTCTACCACGTTTATCGACCAAATTGGTGATATATTGAAGATGGGCCAGATTAAGAGTACCGTTACCCGACGAGCATGTATGTGTAGGTATATAGATATTAAGGAGGCGAGAGAGGTATGTCAGCAGGGGTAGATCTACATGTGGGAGTTTTTAGACAGTAGCCCATTGCCCCGTGGATGTGAAGACTATTGCAGACAATGGCTATCAAAGCTTTAAAAATAATTATGATGGTATTATGATGAAAATTATAAAATGAAAGAAACAAGAAGATAAGAAAGTTAAATTTTGAAAAGAGCTACATCAGTATCACATATAAAGAAAATAGTTTTTGACAAAAAAAATTACGCTTTTACTTTCAAATCACAATCGCTATCAAAAGGTTTAAATTATTTATTAAGCAAAAAATGTCTAATAAGGGTTATTTATTATACTACTAAAGAGTATAATGATAATATGACTGATAATAACCCCTGGGAATGAGGTGATCGCTACCATGCTCTTTCTAAATGTTTTCATAACAATTGTATAAAATATTATATTGTAAATTGTGTTTTTAAAAAAAAGTCCCGCTGTGTTTCTTGCTGGTTCTTCCCAGGACAGGGGTTTTTTTTGCGAACCAGTGGTAAAAGTAAAAAATAACTTTCAATAAGTATTATGTACTATAATGTATATTGAAGAAAAACTATTCTATTCTATTCTATGGCCCCCAAGTGGTATTAACCCAGGTCACCACTTATTCGTGGTCCGCCCCTGTGTGTCAGGATCGTGTCAAATGGCAGTCCGTAGTCTCTGCCTACCCCTCTGGGTGACAGGCGTGAGTGTTTGTGTATTATGTGATAGGTTCTGTTACAGTTGCTACGACTTAGTGTATAGAACTATTCCCGCCCCGACTTCTGAATCTAGTTTTATGTGGAAATTATTTTATTCTTTTTAGTTCTTTGAAGTGACGGCTCCGTGGCGCAGTGACTTGGTAATGAGTTGTTGCGCTGGGGGCCGCGGGTTCGACCCCGCACGGGACAAGTATTTGTATGGCGTCCAAATAATTGTTCCAGGTCTTGATGTTTGTCGTTGTGCAATTTGTGTTTGTAAACTGCCTCCACGATAAAGGAGAAAATCCTAATGTGGAGGTAAAGTTCTTAGATTAGGCTTTCAATAAAAAAAGACTTCTTTTCTTTTTATTGAAAGCCTAATCTAGCCATTTTAACCTTTTGAGAGGACTAAGAAATATCACAAGCTCGAATGTCATCTAAATACCTTAGAGTGAATACATTTCTTCAAATTTATATGGAACTGAAGTCCTATAACCTATCTAATAAACAACTGACGAAGATACATTTCAGAGGCATTCCATCTTAGTCGTCACGGGTGACAATGCATCTGCATTTTGACTCTTAATCGAAGATAGATGTAGATGTCTATGGGCCACAGCGACCACTTACCATCAGGTGGACTGTGTGCTCGTTTGTCACCCTTATCCTATAAAAAAAAATATGAGTGACATGCATAACAAAAAAAAAACAATATCGAATTGAGGACCTCTGATTTTCTTGAAGTCGGATATAAATGTAGTGTCTCCTGTAAGAGGCCAGAATCAGAGATCGAATTATTATTATCCTCCACTAACGCCACTATGCTGCTTTATCGAAAATACTACGTTAATCAGTGCGATAAGACGCCGTCAACAATGTAACAATGTCGATCCGGGCACCATTTAGTTAACACAATTAGTTCCGTTACAACATACATAATTTAAAATTAAAAATTTTGTACAGCCGACTTCAATATAAGTTATTAAGAATAACTCAATAACTATTGGTCAGACCTTGATCAAATTCATATGGGACCACACGAGAAGTGTCAGCTTTCAAATAAAAAAAGAATCATCGAAATAAGTTCACCTAGTAAAAAGTTATGAGGTAACACACATAAAAAAAAAACATACAGTCGAATTGAGTACCGTCTCCTTTTTGGAAGTCGGCAGAAAAAGTCAACACACCTCCCTCATTCTCGTAGATTGCTCCATAGGAATATTATAATATATTTATTATTTCGATTTTTGAATTTACCGGTAATAAAACCACATACAATTCATTTTTTTTTAAATTAAAATATTTTTTAATGTTCAAGTTTTTTGAAAGAAAGTTATTTCTTTAGATCTTTGAATACTGACTCTGATAACGCACGTAACTGGAACTACATGGTTTTTGTTACATGTTGTATAAGAGGGCCAGTGGAGTAGCGTGCCTTAGAGGGGTGCTATTTTACGCTGGTATTCTGTGAGAGCGTGGTCCTTACCCGGTCGAGTCGACCCATTCGTGCTACAACTATACCACTAATATAGCAGCAGCTTAATGAGGTTTTTTATCACGCAATCTCGAATAGCAATCATGATACCAAGTGGTAGGTCGATTTTTCTGTCTAGAAGTTCGTCTAAATAAGTATCTTAGGCACCACTCTCTTACCTATTTCTCAAGGGAGACAGCGTAATTACAGACTTAGTGCTCAGACCTAACGCATCTGTAACATTCTTTGTATGGAGTGTAGAGTAGAAGGAGGACCATCTCTGTATATGAAAAGTGTCCCTAAAAACGCGTCCAATAAGGGTGGCGCTGCAGTAGCATAGGATAAATTTAAAAAAAGCGCCAAAATTAATTAGAATAAGATGGAGAAATAAACAAGGACCGACCAATCCGCTTGGTTTTGTACTACGTAAATAGTTGAGGTTTTGTATACTGGCATTTTACTAACTACTCTAGTCATGAATTTTTTTAAATATTTGAATTCAGCTGACTTCACTCCGTCTACAACAGCTATATTCATATCGTAGATTTTCAGACGCCACCGCTATTGTGGTAGCTTTTGGAACCTCTATTTTGAGTATTATAGTGGGATACTTTTTCAACTTTCGCACCTTATAAGATGGTTCTCCTTCTACTCTACACTCCATACTTCTTTATTTAAAGTCGGTTGCAGATATCCATAGGCTGCAAGTTCCTACGTCACTTTAATTTTATTTAAAAAAAAACTTCTCCAAATCCATTTCATTCGACGCTTAACTGCGTAATGAATACCTGAATTATGTTTGTTTTCATTTAAATATATTCTGTGCCATTTTAACAAATGATGTAAATTTAAATTGCAATTCACCCGTAATAGGAATTTGATAGTGATTACATACCGAGTCACACCCACGTCTGTTTTTTTTTTCAGAACGAGGCAGAAAGACTACTCCTTTGCCAGAGGCCTTGAAAACCAAAAGACAAAACTTCACCTCTCTACATAGACACTGGCACTTGTAAATTATTCGAGCACAATTTATTCATCACGTTATCAACATAGTATTATTATATTTATATATATAGTTATTAATCAAACAGATGTATATTCTGAATAAAGATTTCTAGATAAATGTATTTTGTTTATTTCATCATCGAAAAATATTTTTAACTTTAAAAATATGTAGGAGCCTGTCCATTATACCATTGCTAGGTACCCATTTCATAGAAAGTACTTGATAAAACCACCAAATGTCTGCGCATGTGAACTATTAGTGGAAACGGTGAAACAAGTGCTCTGATGGTGATGTGATTATCAAGATAAGGCGTCTGTCTGCTTAGGCGCCTTGAGATACCATCGCCAACTGTCAGCTGTCTGCTGGCTGAAGTTGCCGTCAAAATCTGCAAGGGCTGCACAATGTGACGCATCAACATATTGTGAAGCAGTGTACTATAAAGGATAATTGTACATTATAACTTCAGGCTCAGAAGGGCTAGAACCCAGAGCCGTAAAGCCAGTTATTCAAAAAAAACACACGCAAGTCAATTTCTTAACAATGTTTAATTTCAACGAAATAATAATTAAAAAAGTTTAGGACACGATTTTCGACACTAATGTACTATACACTGTATATGTGTGATATTTTACGATGATAAATACAGTAAAAAAAATATATAAATTCGTATAAAATATTTACAAATCGAGCTCTTACTATCAAACAAATCGGTAATGAAATTGCATTCAATTTCACATGGAAATCGGCAAGAAAATTTATTTAAAAAAATAAGTAGTTTAGTCGTCAGGTACAAAAATCCAATTTTTTATAAACAATCGCTACAGGAAACAAAATAAGTGTTGCAATTTAATAAAAACTCCTCAAATAATAACATTAACAAATTTAGAACTAAACAACAATTTTGGCAGTTTTAAATACAAAAGTATTATTTAATTTTCAAAAGTAATAACATTTTTTAATTAACAATTATTTCCATGATTTTGTTTGTGCGTTCTTATTATAAAGCTACAGAGCATACAACCTACATTACAATAAATAATAGATAAAGTGATGTATTACTGACTGCATAGACTTATATTCTTAATTATACACATAAAAAGTTTTATTTTTATTGTTATTACTTCACTATTTAAAACATAATAGCCGTAATTATAAATTTATTTATTGTTTTCGAAAATTATAAATATTAATTAATTATCAATATATCCATATCAGTTCTGTTCTTTTTAATATTAAATTATTAGAATTATGTTTTACATTCTCAGACAAAATAAAGCTGAACTTCATGGCACGCACTCACGCAAACATCTTTCTTCGTTCTTTCGTTGTCAGTCCGTAAAATATCATTGCTCGTTATGCACCTAAAACTACGTTGCTAGTTGTAAATAATTTTAGATGCATATGAGTATATAAGTGCGTGTTCTTACAATAAGTAGCAAGGTTTCGGCTTGGTTTTTGCGTCACTTAAAATGTACGCAACGCTCCATCCTCCTTTCTTTGTTGGTCGGAGATTACAGTAAGTAAAAATATTTTAACATACAATTTAAACATTGCATTTTTTTAATTTAAAAAACATAATATTAAGTATATTCAATAAATATCATATTTATTTATTTATTCAACACAACAATATAAGCTTACAGTACTACACCAAATTGCTTATATAAGTTATACTAAATATATAGATATATATATTATGTGCGCCTACTATCGATTCATACTTAAATACATAAAACCCCTATTCAACATGCAATTATACACCATATTGCCTGCACACTAAGGCTTATTTTAATAGTCTATATAAATCACTGCCACGTGCTAGACGATTATACACCTTAAAAGAAATACAATAAAGTTTATTTTTGATACATTTAGTCTAGTATATTTAAGTATAGAAATCCAGCCGCTTAGTGATCCAAGATGCGGAGGTTGCCGGAAACGATCTTGTTCTCCAGCACAGCACCTGACGGGATGTCGATACGGTCGCCGTGGTTCGCGATTATTATTACAGTACCCTAGAACAAGGGAAAATATAAAACCCCTTTTTCTTTTACTAAGCGACTTCAAAAAAGTATTTTTTTTGTATAGAATAATGGTGACAAACGAGTACACAGTCCACCTGATCGTTAGGGGATGCTGGGGCCCATAGACATTTTTCCTCGATTAAGAATCAAAATCACCCCTGAGGTGAAAGGAATGCCTCGTTTTCAGTAAAAAGCATCTTCGGTTCTCTACACTTACATCAGCATATGCTGCTGTTTCGTATGGTGAGTGTAAAGAACCGAAGACCCTTTTTACTGGAAATGAAGCGTTCCAGTTTATTTCTGAGGGATTACGACGCATCTAAATTTTGATTTTTAATTAAGAATAGATAAAGGTTATTTTCAGTAACAGATCCACTGCTGAACATAGGCCTCCCCCAAGGAACGCCACAATGCACGGTCGTGAGCCACCTGCATCTATCGACTTAGAACGATAGATCGACGTAAGAGGCTGCCACTCGAGAACCTTTCTTCCCCATCGGTTGTCGGTTCTTCTAGCTAAATGGCCGGCCCATTGCCACTTCAGCTTACTAATCCGTTCTCAGATCTCAAATCCATAAGTCATCACTGGCAACACGCACTGGTTGTAAAATCTCGTTTTCAGGTTTTGAGGTATGCCTGACGAGGAGATATGTCGTAATTTCCCGAACGCTGCCCAGCAGAGTTGAATCCGTCGATTGGTCTCTTGGTCGAAGCTGGATTTACCTATTCGGACTATTTGTGCCAGGAAAACATACTCGTCAACAACTTCGATCTTAGTGCTCCCAACAACTACCAACATAGGTGTGACATGGACGTTATACATGATCTTTGTTTTGTCCATGTTCATCTTAAGACCTATCCGTTGGAAGGCATTATTGAGGTCATTGAGCATAGTGCTTAGGTCCTCTAGCGATTCTACCATAAGGACAATATTGTCGGCAAATGGAAGGTGAGTGATGTACTCGCCATTGATGTTAATACCGTATATACACTGTTATAGGATAGGGTGACAAACGAGCACACAGTCCACCTGATGATAAGTGGTTGCTGTGACCCAGAGACATCTACATTTATCCTCAATAAAGAATCAAAATGCAGATGCGTCGTCACCCCTGTGGACTGAGTTGGAATACCTCATAACATGTAATTATTTACCACGTACATAGTGAAGTAAAACATCGTGAGGAATACAGATTTCTTTAGGCTGAGGATTAAAAAAATTAAATATATGTAGGATACATGTCTTGGATTTTTTTTAACCAACAAGCGTTGACGCAGCCTGGCGGTCCAAAAACCCACTCGACTTTGAAATTGACTTGAAAATTTGCACTCGTTTGATCAGAATCATCAGGATATTTTTTTTAATATTATGACCTATTATTCTCACTAAGACATTACATTACATAAAAATATATCTATAATTATCTACAAAGGTAAATCAAAAGAAATTCAATGGACAATATTAAAAAAGCTGATCTTACCTTGAGCGAGACTCCTCTTCCGAAAGTGACATCACCAGAAACAGTCAAATGGTCCAGCTCAATGAGGTCGGGTATGGTCGCGAACCGGTTGAGGAACTCCTTAACCTTCGCGAAATGGTTGTCGCCGAGCTTTACGAGCGGAGTGGAAGGGAACATCCTCTGTGGAGACATCACCAGGGAGCCATGGGAGAGGCTATACAGATTAGACATAACGAGTAACAGATCTGACGTTTTCTTCACGGGCAGGAAACGGCTTCTTGGCACATTCACTCCTATTCCGCCTTCAAAGCACTTCATGGCAGCACCGACCGCCGTTTCTAGTTGGATCACATTCAATCCATCGCTCAAGTGTTTGTTATTGACGATAATTTCCATGTTCAGAGACCCTTGTTCAACTACCCTCTGTATAGCATCCAACTTCGCCCACAAGTTGTTCGTGTTGAAGAACTTGAACTGGCTGACAGACTTGAAATCGTCTACATGCTCCTTCGGGACCTGGGCAATCTCCAGCAAACGCAACTTATCTTCGTACTGGATTAAAGTTCCACCCTTGACATCGGCTCTGGTCTTGTCGGTCACTTCCATCACAAATTCCGAGACGTATTTCTGTGGGTCCGGGTTCAGGAGCAGGTCGAGGATGTTCAGATCGACGGTCGCGCCCAAGTTGTCGATGTTACTGATGAAGCAGTACGTTCTGCCTTCTTTGATAAACTTCTGGAGGAGGCCGGAGTTATAGAACGATTCGTAGAAGTCACCGTGGCCTGGTGGATACCACCTGTGGTAACAAACGGAAGCAGTTACTTACGAGCGGCTCATTTTTGGGTAAGTGTATAAGAATTTATAAAAATAGGGGTGTGGCTGTGTCGTGGACGCAACCGTGTATTTTACGTGAATACGTGTACGCGAGGAAATTACCTCAAAATGGCGGCGCTCCCCCCTCCGTCAAACGAGATAAATCATAGTCCTCACTCAACATAACGTATTTTTTGATCGTTTAGTTATCGAAAGGTGTAATTATATTTTGGATGAAGATGATAGATATGGAGCTGCAACACCAAACTGTATTTCCCGATTTTTATATCATCAGTTTTCTGAATAGCATTTCAATATGGAAGCAAAATTAAAGACTTATTCGTACTTTACGTACTTTACGTGGTAGAGCCATGCTGCAGCTATATTAGTAGTATAGTTGTAGCACGAATGGGTCGGTTCGACCGGGGAAGGACCACGCGCTCACAGAATACCAGCATAAAATAACAGCTTGACACTGCTGTGTTTCGTAGGGTGAGTGTAGAGAACGGGAGACCCATTTTACTGGAAAAGAGGCATTCCATCTTAGTCCTCACGGGTGACGCATCTGCATTTTGATTCTTTATTGAGGATAAATGTAGATGTCTCTAGGTCACAGCAACCACTTACCATCAGGTGGACTGTGTGCTCGTTTGTCACCCTATCCTATAAAAAAATGAAAAAAGCTTTCTGTATAATAATGACCGAGTTACCTTTGCAACAAGGTGCATGTAAAAAGCATTCTAATGAAAAAAGATACGGCTTATAAAGAGAATGGTAGTAGCACGAAGTTTTATAAGTTTCGTGCTACAACCATTATATAGCTGCAGAGAGGTAGAGCCAACCCCTTGTTATATTTATAGTAACTATTGGCGTATAGAGGTGGGTGGCCGGGTCATTCATGTCCAGCCCAGAATTTTTTGATGCCCAAAATTAAACAATTAAGAATTTACTTTAATTAATTAATAACGCTGTCATCCTTACAACTTTATAATTTGTGCTGTCATCAAAATACACGAAAAATATTATGATATCTCAATTAAAAAAATATATACATTGTACTTGTAGTTGCACGAGTTTCGCGCTTTGAGATACTATTCTCATCAACTGTTCGCTGGGTTAAGCTGTTGTCAAAATCTCACCATCAATCATCAATCTCAGTATTAGCATATTATGAAGAATTTTGTTGTTGTTGTTGAAAACAAAAAAATACACTTCAGACTAGGCTGTATGTATGTGTCGATACCTTTTCCTTGAAATAAAAAATCACGTTATTTTCGCCAAAAATTAACAATTCAAATACTGAACGTGTTTTGGCGGAAACTTGACAGCCGGTGTATTGCTGCTACTCTTTTATTATTAAACTAGCTGTTCCACGCGACTTCGCCCGCGTGAAATTTATTACGATTGGATTTCATGGGTTTTAATTTTTTTTCACGGGACCCTAATCCTAAGTGGAAAGATCGTGGTTGGCGGCGATCGGTATCTTTGAAAATGTGGCAGTATTGTTACCCAACTGCCGCCCGTGCCTAATGTATTGCCACAGTCTAACTACTAATAACTGTCGGTCATCGAAGGCGTCTAGACGGTGCAATCGCGCGGTGCGGTGCGGGCCGAGACGCGGACGGACAGGCAGATAGCGCAACTGTCCGCTAGGGTTGTCCTGTTACGCAAATAAATTAAAATGTTTCACACTACATGTAAAAACAGTGGGTCGTCCCCATTTTAAGATAAGGAATTACTAGGTTCATCAGTTTTCACTTACACAGGAATTAGTTTAAACGTGAAATAAAATAAAATCAATTTTTTTATTTTTTTTTTATTACTTCCCGTTCTGACAACCCTAGCAATTTTTTGTTTATGTCGGCTTTTCTGACAACATCAAACGTGATGACTGACTGTATGTTCTTCTTAGGCTGTGCCATGTAAATTTCTCGATTTAATTAAATTTTATTTTTATTATATATTTATTTATTATCTAAAAAAAGATTTGATGAACAGAATCATATCACAATACCTAAAAGTATCCTCACGGATCGGATAGGGTTTTCTTTCCATATTGTATCTATGCATTTTAAGTGTGTGTGGTAGAGCCATGTTGCAGTGTAGATATGTATACATATATGCAGTGTAGATAGCTTTAGCTGGAAGTCATCAATTCGATCGGGGCAAGATCTCGCTCGAACAAATTTCCACCGTGAAATAGAAGCATGCTGCAGCGTTTCATATGGTAAGTGACATGAACCGAAGACCCTTTTCACTGGCTTAGAAGTATACTATCTTAGTTTTTAAGGGATGACAACATATCTGCATCTTGATTCTTAAAGGGAATAGATGAAGATGTTTATGGGCCGAAGCATCCTCTTACCATTCAGGTGTACTGTATGTATGGTGTTTTTCACCTTTACGTTTAATAACGTGAACTATTTTTGGATAAAAGATAATATGTTAAAAAACCTTAGGCGATAATATCAAAATCAACACGATACTAATATAGTCAAAATCGGTCACTATGTCATTAAGCATTCCTGATAATTGTTTAGTTTTGATAAGATAAAAAAAATCGTTGAGAAATGTTGATAATCATTTCGTAAGCTGATTGTATCTAGGCATTAATGGCTTATCTACATATTTTGTTGCAGCACTGGTTGTACACTATTGGTCGCGAGAGGGCTATCCTCGGAGTTTCTCTACGTGATAGACTTCTAAATGAGGATATTCGCAATATAACCACAGTAACCGACAAAGTCCAAGGGATATAATGATCGAGGGTAAGCTGAAGTGGCAATGGACCGGCCATATAGCTCGAAGAACCGACAAACTATGGAGAAGAGAGGTTCCCGAGTGGCAGCCAGAGAATTGTAGGGCGGGCACCAACTAGATGTAGCGACAAACAGTTGACACATATAAGAAGTAGATGAATGCAGGTGGCTCTGAAGCTCAGGACCGTGTTTTGTGGCATTCCTTGGAGGAGGCCTTTTCCTTGGTTCAGCAGTGGACTTGTGTAAGGCACATAACACGGCAAAGAAAGTACCTATGTGGCGTTGTTTTGCGTCGTAATTCGTAAATTTGTGAAAACAAATTAGCTAACAAAGAAAGTATCCCAGATGGTCACTCCCGATTTTGCACTTAAGGTGTTCCTGCGAAAATATAATAAAAGCGCCCGAAACGTTGGGAATTAAAAAATTAAATTTATATGCGATAAAATCCGTAAAATTAATTTTATTCCTTGTGTAGCATTCGGGGTAATCATTATTAATTTATTTATTGGGTCTACCAGCGATTTCACATTACATACATAGATTTCTTAAAGTATTTAGGTACATTACTTGCACAGAGTATGTAAAACCATTTAAAGGTAAACACTACATGCTATTTTTGCTCGTATTACTGTATAAATTAAAAGTGAGTTGATAGCAGAAACAAATCAAAACCAGAAACAAACAAAAAGACGTGTATGTGTACTTATGTACGCACGTAGGAAGTTACACTCCTTTAGCGTAACCAAACAAAAATAACTAAAAATAACTACTTTAAATATAGTTTTTATTTTATTTTATTTTATTAAAATTGGTTTACCAACAACTTATGCACTAACATCTTCCCATATAAATCAAGCGATATAGTTAAAAAAAAAAAACTAAGTACACAGTCAATTACAGGTAAACACCACATGCATAACTTTTATCGCGACAATTAAAAGACGAATTTATACTTATTGAATAGAAACACTGTAGTATTGCCATTATAAAATTCACTAAAACAATCTGACCAAAAACAGAGCGGCAAGGTATGGATTTACAAAATTTACAAAATTAAAAAAAAAAATTAAAAATTTTAAAAAATTTAAAGATTAAAAAAGGAAAAAGTGTTTAACAAGGCAAATGTTTATAATCTGAGGTACCTATCATATAGACAGCCTTTCGAAACTTTCCCAATGAAACATGGTTAATGTCGACGAGATCGCTAATTTGGTTAAAAAGTCTGATCATCCTACAAATTGGCGAATGTGATCCCAAAACAGTTCGTCGTAATGGAGGACTGAGTGGTGTAATAGGTTTTCGTGGAGGCCTGAACGGAACTCTAAAATTAATCTTTTGTAAAAGTTCTGAGCAGTCTATGATATTGTGGAGTAATTTAAATAAAAATAACAAATCAGAAACCTCTCTTCGTTTGGATAAACTGGTCATGTTAAAGCGCTTAAGACGGGTCTCGTAACTGATATGCCTGCCTCGCATACCCGAAGAATATGACAGATGCCGAAGAAAGCGCTTTTGTACCCGTTCTATTCTCAATGAGTGAGTAGCGTAGTGCGGTCGCCAGATTACACTACCATACTCCAGTACACTTCTGACCAGACTACAATAAAGGATTTTTTTAGTTTTAATGTCTCGGAATTCCCTACTATTTCTTATAACAAAACCCACCATTCTCGATGCCCTGCCGATCGTTTGTTCCATATGTGGTATGAATGTAAGTTTTGTGTCCAATAAGACGCCTAAATCACGCATGATTTCTGTCTCCTTAAGTATGTTGCCTGCTATTGTATATGAAGATGAAATTTTGTTAAGTTTTCTAGTAAATTTTATGTGTGTACATTTTTTGGCATTCAATTTAAGTCCATTTTTTACGCACCAAGAATTCAAGATGTCTAAATCCTTTTGAAGCTTCATAATATCGCTCTCATTATTTATGACTTTAGACAGTTTCAGGTCATCAGCAAACATATGCGGTGAAGAATAAAGAAAGTGATCAGGCAGATCATTAATAAATATATTAAATAATATTGGGCCCAAATGCGAGCCTTGCGGTACGCCAGAGGAAATAGAGTGTAAGTTAGATTGGTACCCATTGACTACCACATAAAAGGATCTATCGCTTAAATATGATTCTAGCCAATGCAGAATAGGTCCAGCGAAGCCATACATTTCTAATTTTTGGAGGAGCACGTTGTGGGGAACTGTGTCGAATGCTTTGCTGAAGTCCGTATAAATGGCGTCAACTTGCCGATTGTTATCCACAGCTTCCATAAGGTCTTCAGCAAAGCACATGAGATTCGTAGAAGTAGACCTTCCAGCTACAAATCCATGCTGTTTACTAGAAGTGTATTTTTTGAAGTGATTTTGTATATATGGGCAAATGATTGCTTCTAGCAACTTAGCAAAAACAGGCAGGATAGAAATTGGCCTATAGTTCCGAACGTCTTGGTCATCATCAGACTTATGAATTGGCACGACCTTAGCAGACTTCCATCGCTTTGGAAATACTCCACTTGTCAACGATTCATTTAAAATGAGCCTTAAAGGCGCTGATAAACTATTAGCACAGTTAACTATGAAGTATGGTGGAATATTATCAGATATAGTTAACAGTTCCCACGAAAACTTGAGAGACAGTTATCCACTGAAGTTGTCGCTTTGAGGTGTCAGTGTGGGCGCACATCGTACCAACTTCATGGTGTCGTTTTTAAGTGTCGGTGTGCGCGTGCATTTTAAAAATTAACTTATCATTTTTTCCAAACGCCCCAAAAGAAGTATAACTTCAAAAATACAATAGTAACTTGGTAAAAGCTTGCAAAACCATATCAATTTAACATTTTGAAGGGAGATTTAATCGGACTGATAATTAGTTTTTTAATGAAGATTACAACTAAAAATTATCGTAAACTAATCCAACTAACAATATATTCTAAGAAACTAAAATAAAACATACGTAATAACTAATATGAGAAAAATCACACTCAGGATGACTTGCTGACTAGAGGTTGCTGATAATTAATTTACGAAAGTTGTTGGCGAATTAATGTTGATGTCAATGACGACGAAGTATGCACGACTTTTTCTGCCACCAGGGCGGCGCCAGTGAGGTATAATATTTGACAGATTTCATAGCGGAGAAGTAAATTTGTTCGGAAAATGTAAAGGTTAATGTTTCTTTCTGTATTATCACCTATATTTTATATTAAAAATAATAAAAATAAATAAACCAAACCACAGATATGCATAAAAGTAGAAAAATTAAAAATTTGCAAAAAAGTAAAGGGCAAACCACTGACTCATTGTTTTGTGTATTAATATAATACTCTAGCAACTGATAAAGTTTTATTAAAAACTAACTTCTCAATTAAATGACAATGTATAACAAAAAACATGACCTCAGTGTCAACTAGCGACATCTGGAGAGCAGAAAATTATTAGTCCTCATTAACTGGCTGAATTTATTGTATATTTTACAGATGTCCTTTACTAAGCAATTTAAAGCAAATCTGTTGTTTTTATAAATAAAAAATTATAACTCTAATAAAAATAATGAGCCGATGAAGAGCATTATAAGTTTGGGTCTCGGCGACCAGTCTAAACGGAGACTAGCCAGCCAGAGTATCACTCTCATTCTCTCTATTCCCTCACTCTCATAGACCAGTAGGAGGATTATGGTTTTTTATAGAATAAAGGTGACAAACGAGCACGCAGTCCACCTGATGGTAAGTGGATGCTGTAGCACATAGACATCTACATTTATCCTCGATTAAGAATCAAAATCCAGATGTATTGTCACCCCTGAGGACTAAGGTGGATGCCTCGTTACCATTAAAAAGGGCTTCAGTCCTTTACACTCACCCACATGGAACACAGCAATATTCTACTGCTTTACGCTCATCGATATATATGTAATACGTACTAGATTTCGCATTCCGAACATACACTATGTTCAACTGAACTGTACTGCAACCCGTACAGTGTGACATTTAGTGTAGTTTCAATCTACTAATTAGTCTGTGGTTTCAATATTTTTTTATAGTATAGGGTGACAAACGAGCACACAGTCCACTTGATGGTAAGTGGTTGTTGTGGCCCATAGACAATCTACATTTATCCTCATTTGCGAATCAAAATGCAGATGCGTTGCCACCCGTGAGGACTAAGATGGAATGCCTCGTTTCCAGTAAAAAGGGTCTCCGGTTCTCTACACCCACCATACGAAACACAGCAGTGTTGGGCTGCTATTTGACGCTGGTATTCTGTGAGAGCGTGGTCCTTCCCCGGTCGAGCCGGCCCATTCGTGTTACAAATATACTGCTAATATAGCTGCAGCATGGCTCTACCACGTAAAAATATAAATGCAGTGTGGAGCGACGCTAATAATACAAGATTTCAAATTAAAGTTTAAATTAAAAACTATCCGCGCAGGCGCAACGCGCTTAAATCAACTGCGAATGCGCGACTCTACTATCTCCCGCGCATGCGCGAAGACATAGAGTAGTGCACATTTTTTGTTTAGAATGCCTTCTCTAGTACGTAGTACATGTAACTCAATGTTTACGCTGGTATTCTGTGCGAGCGTGGTCATTCGTGCTGCAGATAATATATAGCTGCAGCATGGCTCTACCACGTAAAAAAGAAATACCACGTAAGTATGATTGCCAGAAAAAGGGTAATATTTACCATTACAGCTTGTAGTGGCGGTGCAAGGATATCCACTACCCTATATCATCCCGTGGGTGTCGTAAGAGGCGACAGAGGGAAACAGATCAGGACATGGGCAGGGTCGTCTTTCTAATAACGGCTAAAAAATAAACCCGAGACTGCAAAAAACGACGAAGAAATGGAACTCACGCTTCAATATCAGAGTACACATTTCCATCCTTCGCGATGGGCAACAGGGACTCCCTGTTGATCCGCGGGTGGCAGGACTGGTTGAAAGTGTGGATGTCCAGCTTCAAGCCCTTGTACTTGCGGATCACCTTTTGCGTGTCGTCGTCCGTATTGAACGAGTTCATCAGGACCAGAGGCACGTTGCACTTGTATGTTTTGTTCAGATGCTGAAAAGAAAATTTGCTATAGCATATAGCGTTATCATCTATTCTAGAAGATATGGGGAACAGCATCAGCAGCAGATAACTGCGGTTGTCAACCATATACGACAATCTATGGAAAAGACCAATGTTTAGCAGTAGATGTGTGAAGGGATGATGATGATGAACTGTGTTAATTTTCTATATATGTACTAGCTGGCCAGGCAGACGTTGTTCTGCCCTTTTCGACGACTTCGTCTTCCTATAAAAATCCTTAACATTTCAATAAAAAAATATTGAAGGTTACTTATCGGGATATAACCTATCCTATCTCTCAAGTTGGACCAAACTGCACAGTGTCCAAAATTTCATTGAAATCAGTTCAGTAGTTTAGGAGTACATCGCGGACAAACAACGTGACACGTAATATTTTACTCGTATATATAAAGATACTAACTCGCCAGGCAAACGTTGTTCTGCCCGTTCAAATGACCCTTCCTATAAAAATCCTTAAATCTATAATATAAAAATGGATCGCTGAATGTGTTGCTAAGCGCAAATCTCAAGAGCAGCTGAACCGATTTCGCTAATTCTTTTTTTATAATATTGCTTGAAGTACGAAGATGGTTCTTACGCAGAGAAAAATTTAAAAAATTGCCTGAAAATGTCTAAAACCAACACTTTTCTATATTCCCGTACAAAAGATTCGTAATAATACTTAAAAGTCAATTTGAACTTTAAGACCATACCATAAAGTTTAGTATTAGTGGAGGGATTCCAGGAAGGCAAAAAATTGAGTGACGTTAGTATCGTATAAATATTTGTCAATATTTATACATAGGCTGCACTAAAAGTATCGGGAATGGAATTTGAAAAATAAAAAGTTCTTGGAATAATCCTAGACGCGAAGCTTTAATGGAGCCCCCATATATCAAAATTAGCGAGCAGACTTAGTTCTGCAGCATATGCTGTAAAAAATACTAGAAATCTAACCATTGTGGCAACAGCTAGACTTGTTTACTTTAGCTATTTCCATAGCATAATGTCGTATGGTATTTTGCTATGGGACACGCTACTGATACTGAAATTATATTTATTTTACAGAAGAGGGCCAAAAGAGCAATCTATGATTTAAAACCTAAAGGGTCGCTCCAACAAAAATTTAAGAAACTTAATATATTAACTTTGATCTCTCAATACATTTATGAAAATGTAATGTACGTACACAAAAATAAAGGTAGTTATACAAAAATAAGTGATATTCATTCTGTAAATACTAGGAACAGACATAAGCTAGTAGTACCAGTTACTCGACTCCACCGTGCCAGTAATTCATTCTTGGGGCGATGTATACGCTTTTACAACAAAATCCCAGAAAATATACAAAATTTTACCCGCTCAAAGTCCAAAAACTTTATTAAACAAAGTTTGTATAAAAAGGGTTATTATAATATTAAGGAATTTATGGACGATAATAACCCCTGGGAATGAGGTGATTGCTACCAAGCTATTCCTAATTTGTATTGTGTGGTTAATTGTGTAAAACATACATGATTGTAAGCTGCTATTTAAAAAAAGTCCCGCTGGATTTCTTGATGGTTCTTCCCAGGAAAGGAGGCGGCTGGATTTACCGGTGGACGAATGATCCTTCTTGTTGCTCCACATCGTGTTGTCCCGCCTGCCTCTCGACCTTCGTAACATTTTGAGGAGAGGTACGGCGGGGACGGCGCCTCCTATATTCCGCCCTTCAGTGATCTGCTGCGGTTTTTGGAGGAGCAGTGCCGGCAGATTAAGAACGCGGCGGGCACAGTTGGCGACTTACGAGCCGTGCCCAGTGAGAGGCGGAAACCGCCGGGCAAGTCGTCGTCAACCCCCCTAAGGCCGATCGGAGCTCCCGCGAGAGGGCGCCGCTCCCTACCATCTTACAGTGGCCTAGTGGCCATGGAGGCGCCCCCCTGTTTCTATTGTCGAGCATCCGATCACCGGGTGACGTCGTGCCCGAAGTTATAAGGTAAGCCGGTTCCGGCTAGGCGAACTATCGCTAAGGAGCGCCGCTGGTGCTACTCGTGTTTGGAAAGGCACCTCCAGCGAGACTGCCCGCACCAGCGGCCCTGTCCACATTGCCAGGGCAATCACCATGCAGTTTTGTGCCTGGGTGCGAACGGTGTCTCCTCTCGGTGCTCTGCCGGGCCTCAACCCCACGGGCGGGGGCACTCAGCCACGCCCTCTGTCGGGCGACGCTCGGCGCTCGCCTGCCAACCACCGAGCCCCTAGGTTTGAAAAGGGTCCCTTCCCCGACCAGTAGGGGGGTCGTTCCCCCAGGGGCGGGGGTGTCGTCGCCCCCCCTCAGCGTGTGGAGAGGAACTTCACGGCCATTCAGCAGTCAGCTAGACCCTTCTCACCCCCGTTAGCTGAGTGGCCGCGGCTGGGGTACCGCCGTCCGTTTTGTCCAGCAATAGGACTTATTTAGGTACTGCGATGTCCAAGAAGGGCATCCAGTGGAAATTCGACCCTCCGGCTTGCCCACATTGGGGCGGTATTTTGAGGCGGTGGTTAAGGTTGCAAGATCTGATGGGGTGCCTAGGGTGGCCGAGGTTTTGGTTGGAGATTCGGTCATGCAACGTGCCGTCGCGACCCTGTCCCGTTTGCCAATTTACTCGCGAACATAAGTCCTTATGTCCGGGACGGGGGTTTGTTTAGGCCAAATAATTAACATTTGAAAATTGCATTCAACACGCGTGTCCTTCCGCTGAATTTGTAAAGGTCACCGTCGCCTCCGCTCCCGTGTGGGTCGTGCGGCAGAGGGCGCGAGTGCCGCACGCGAGTGCGAGGTCAGTAGCTTGACGCGCGGGCCATCGTATAGTATTGTTTTGCGACCGCTGGGTTGGTTGCGTGCGGCCGATGTAGATTTTTTGACGGTCTAGAACTTGAGTAAATTGTGCGCCTAATTGACTATTGAATATTTGGGTCTCGTGTAGACCGCCTCGAATTGGTTTGTCTAATTTGTACGTTTCGTGACAAGAGGCTTGTATTGAATTTGAGTGATTAAAGTAACTTCGGTTGCAAGTAATTTACGTCAATTTGTATAGTGATTGCATCTTGAAGTGCATTTTGCAATATTTCATTTACTTGTGTGACGCGTTCTCGTGCGCGCACGCAGAATCGAAAGACGGCCTGGAATTTGACGCTCGCATTCCATTTCGAAGGCGTGGCCCGGTTAATTGTTTTTGGAAGTTAATGTTGAGTTGTAACGTCGCGTTAAGTGCCTTTTTGTGTGTTGACTATTTTCGTTCGTTTTACGTGTCAACGAGGCGGATTTTGAGTTCTGATTGCGGGTGTGGTATTTTAAAATCGTACGAAAGAATTTTAGCTTGTTGTGTGGAACGCTGAAGTTTGAGACTCGAGAAGAGGCCGCGTTCGTTCCCGTGTTTGTAATTTTGTGCTAAATGAACCCGGAACATTGAATATTGAACTTTGAACGACTGTTCGTTACTTGTGTCGTGTGTCACTTGTTTTAATTTCGATGAACGTTGAATTGGTTGACTTTGAAGTTAATTAAATGTACAATAAAGTTGATGAACTGAAATAGTGAAGTGACGTCGAACTTGAATTCGGCTAAAGTGAACTACCGCCTTTGGACAGAAGCAGCGCTGGATCTGCGGTCCAACTTCAACGGTTAAGTCAGGTTACACATTGTACACACTACTACACACTACTTACATGCACCTCACTTATCACCTGACTGGTATCATGTGGTCAACCCTACCTCCTGAGATCGGTAAGTTTTTGTTGGCTTAGCAGCCGTGTTGGCTGTATAATACGTCTCCATAGGCCATTTGGGCCCCGTCCTCTGTTGCCCGTCGAGGGGCTACTATGGGCCCTAGCCCAGTCGACTTTTGTCGGGGCAACTCAGGGCGTGAACAGAAATATTATTTTAAATGAGGATTCATTTTAATAGACGCTAGTAATTGATTTATTTGTATTTCTTAATCAATTATATAATACGTTTATCAATAATAATATACTACGAAAGTAACTTCGTTCCAAACGAGTGTTCCACGACACTCACGCATGTTTTTATATTTTTTATTCAGCTGTTATCAGGAATATACTGCTGCCCATCTCCTGTTTAAGTTTCCCTCCGCCGCCTCTTACGACGCCTACGGTACCCCATAATAATAATAATAATAATAATAATGTCCTCCAGACCGAATTTCGGCCACGGCGGCCAGTCTCAACGGAGACTAGCCATCGGCGCAGGACAGGATTATATTGCCCAAGTGCATGCGCAAGCACAGGTGCACTCTCTATTCCCTCACTCTCGTAGCCCGATGGGACAGTAAACCGACACGACCGGAGAGAGATCAAGCGCTAGAACCAACTGCTTTACGTGCTTTCCGAGGTACGAGGGTGAAACACCGCCAACTTCCTGACTCTGGGCAGCTACTGAGAATTTCTTGGTGGAAAAATTCAATAACTGATTTTTTTTGCCCGACCCGAGATTCGAACCCGGGACCTCATGATCAGCAGTCGCACTACTACAATCACTAGACCAACAAGGCAGTCACCAGGTCAGTACCCCATACCGTAGTGGGTGATCTTACACCCCCACTGCAAGGTTAATAAGCCTAATATAAATAATGAAATAAAAACATATAACAACTTCAATAATTAACAAATAGTTACCTCAATTTGTTGTACAGTCAAATCCAAGAATGTGAGCTCGTTCCTCACTTGGATCACGGACTTGGGACTAATATAAATAACAAAATAAAAACATATAACAACTTCAAGGATTAACAAATAGTTACCTCAATTTGTTGCACAGTCAAATCCAAGAATGTGAGCTCGTTCCTCACTTGGATCACGGATTTGGGGCCTTTGCAACCCATTGACGTGCCAAGACCACCGTTAAGTTTCACCACCACCAGTTTATCCAGCATGTGGTGCACATTGTCCGTTGTGGGCGTCTTGAGGCTCGCGTAGTCGATCACGGCACCTTCCGGGAGCTTCTCAATCTTCTCCCAAGTCATGGAGGGACCCTCTGTGTGAGAGAAAACATATAAATGTAAACTATCATCGTCACAGCTCTTCACAAGTGCACTGCTGAACATAGGCCTGCCTCAAGGAACGCCATATATTAAAAATAAAAACAAAAACTTTTACGTTAAAAAGAAATGATCTCGCTTGATTTCATGCTGGTTTCTCCCAGGACAAAGGCATTTTCCGAAACATTGGTATAATAAATAAATAAAAAATTGTAAATTTTCATGATTATTCTTTTCACGTCTGTTTCTTTATAAGATAAGGGTGACAAGCGAGCACACAGTCCACCTGATGGTAAGTGGTTGCTGTGGTTCATAGACATCTACATCTATCCTCGTTCGCGAATCAAAATGCGGATGCGTTGTCAGCCATGAGGACTAAGATGGAATGCCTCTTTTCCAGTAAAAAGGGTCTCCGGTTCTCTACACTCACCATACGAAACACAGCAGCATCAAGCCGCTATTTTACGCTGGTATTCTGTGAGAGCGTGGTCTTTCCCCGGTCGAGCGGACCCATTCGTGCTACAACTATACTACTAATATAGATGCAGCATGGCTATATAAATCTAAATGTAAAATATCATTTGACTATCTTGAGATTATAATATTATTATTTATTTTTAAAAACACACTACAAAAACAATATTTATTAAAGTATATACAAACCATAGATTAATGATAGGTCATCGCGCGCTCTGATTAGATACCGCGCTACATGAAAGTAACAGTTCCGTGAATGCGGCAACTCAATATTCTAGTGTGTATAAGACAATTGCAAGGATGCTAGTGTGCATGAAAAATTGGATATGCCAGCAGCTTAACTATTACCCGATTAACGGGAAAAATTATTTTATGTTATGGCTTAGTAGTTAAGTTCATAGTTATGAATGTAAACCAGAAATACTTAAAATTGAATAATTTATTAATAGCGAATGTATCAATATATTTTTGTATTTTATGTATAGGTTTTTCTTCTGAATAAGTGGCATATAAATGAAAAGGCCTCATTTTTATCAGTTTAATTTTTATATTTAAATGTCTGATATTCACAAATTATTTAAGAAAATAGTTATATATTATATGGTGTAACCAAAATAGTGCTCTCTATTTCTATTCTACGCGTCAATATGAACAACTTTTACTTTAGATCTATCTTCGAAATCGCAAGAAAAATCAGTTCTTCCATACATTTTGAACAAGTTTGTACGAAAATCTGTATGGAATAACTGATTTTGAGATTTGTTTGCAGGATCAGGTTGACAAACGAGCACACAGTCCATCTGATGGTAAGTGGTTGCTGGGGCTCATAGACATCTACATATATCTTCGGTTAAGTATCAAAATGCAGATGCGTTGCAACCCCTGAGGACTAAGATAGAATGCCTCGTTTCCAGTAAAAAGGGTCTCTGGTTCCCTACACTCACCATATGAAACACAGCAGCATTAAACTGCTATTTTACACTGGTATTCTGTGAGAGCGTGGTCCTTCCCCGGTCGAGCCGACCCATTCGTGCTACAACTATACCAGTAATATAGCTGCAGTATGGCTCTACCACGTATAAATTGAAAATTTCGAAGATGATCCCATAATAAAAATTATTCACGTGGCAGAATCATTCCCTAAGTTATCCAGTAATATTTTGCTACACTTTTACTTAGTATATAAGGTCGGGGCAAAAGTTGCTTCGTATTTTATATACAAATTCAAGACATTTTTGTTTTAAAGTTTTATCACATTTAATTATAATATATATGGGTCCATTTTGTTCGATAACTTGTTGCAATCTTGTAGATAGTTACATAATCGTGTTGCTGTAGAAATCTTGGAATTTTTGATAAAAGAAATGCGACAAGTAGTTTTATTAGATATATTCAATACCAGAGATTTGAAGCAACATGGAATTAGTCATCCGATTTATAATGAAAATAAAAAAAATATTCTTAATTATTTAGAACATGCGAAACAATATATTATAAATTTAAATAGTAAAACCTCCAGAAAGCTTTCTTTTTAAGAACACAAGCAACTAATGACGAAAAAAAAGAAAATAATGATTAAAACTTTTAAACCAGTTTTAAGTACTCAAGCAAATACTGGATTTTTAGGAATGTTAGTGTGTATTGAAAGTCTCAAACAAAGAACTAATCTTGTGGTCTGGCGTTATCATGATGAAAGACCACTTCTTTTCTGATGATCAATGCCGGCCGTTTTTTTTTTCTATTTCTTGCTTGAATTTCATTAGTTGTTGGCAGTAGAGATCATAATCGATGGTTTTACCAGGCGGTAAAAGCTCATAATAAACGATACGCTTCCAATTCCACCATACATACAGCATCATCTTATTGCGTGTTAATCCAGGTTTCGCTACAGTGTGTAAACAAAACACATATCAATCCAGAAAAAATCACGTTTATTCTATGGGCTTCATACAGGAAACGTGATTTAGGGGTCCTTTAATATTTTTTTATTTTATTTTATTATATGTTGTTATAGCAGCAATACAATTAGCCAATAGACATTCTGTGAACATTTCAAGTATCTACATATTACGGTTCATAAAATACAGCCTGCTGACAGACAGACGGAACGATAGTGGAAACTTAAGTCCCGTTGATACTCTTTGGGTACGGAACCCTAATAAACGGAAAAAATGTTTTAATAATAAATATAACAATTAATAAAACAACATATAAATATTTGGGCATTTGAGCAATACTACAAAAATAAACATTAAATAATATAGAATTAGGTTATATTATAATAAGTTAAATATATTATATTATAAAATATAGTAACAATAAATTCACATATAAAAATCGCAGCCACGGGGAACTTTATTTTTGTATACGCGGCAACACTGAATGGCGTCTTTCATATTTTGTAACTTATTTATGGCTCGTGTTATTTTATGTTGAAATTTCGAAATTGTATGATACTTACTGATAGTATGTGATCCCACTATTATTTTTACACAGTTTCACTACGCAAACTGGTATTTTACTTCGGATTATGATCAAAATTTAATAAAATATTCGGTACGACCACATCCCATATCGCCTGCAAGCCTGCAACGCGACTGGCTCGGGTACGCCGATTTCGGCGTAGTATTTGTTGCCGCATTTTACAAGAGCGCCGGCGGTATCTAGTCTGAGCGCGCGAAGACATATCATTAATCTAAAGTACAAACATATTTTAATTTTATTTAATTTTCTGTTCACCTTCACAATGCACCTGAAGTTAGTGCGGAATGCGAAACAAAGTGTCAGTTTGACAGTCCAGTTATTAACATGTGTGCGTATAACAAAATAATTTACTATAATATGTACATAGAAGATACATTTTATTACTAAAATTGAAGTGACAAACGAACGTACAGGCCACCCGATGGTAAGCGGTGACTGCAGCCCATGGACACCTGCAGCCAACTTCAAATAAAGAAGGTTACAAATGAGTTGCCACCTCTGAGGACTAAGATGGAATGCCTCACAGCCTGTTTATACTAGGGATGGGCAAGGGGAAAAATATATCGATATATATCGAAACGATATTTTAAATAGTATCGATATATATCGCGTGATAAATATCGATATATCCATATAACGTCATCATTTGCATGATGGTAACATAAGGTCCAAAATTTTATACTACTGCCGGTTGGACGACGAAGACAACCAACCACACATGAATACTTTTGTACCTCCTTTTGTTGTTACATGTTTTGTCGTTAATACAACATTTTAAAATATATCGGAATTGATACGAATTCGATACTTTAAAATAAATATACGATATATTGAAATATCGCGGTTTAAAATATCGACGATATATATCGATATTTTTGTCCAAGACTAGTTTATACTGGCTCTCTATACCGTTCCGACCGGACACAGTACTGCACGCACTGTTATTTTGCGGCAAAAATAGATATAAGCGGCCAAGTGCGAGTCGGACTCGCCCATGAAGGGTTCCGTAGCAGCAAGTAACATAATTTACGATTTATGACGATTAAAAAAAAACTACTTACTAGATCTCGTTCAAACCAATTTTCGGTGGAAGTTTACATGGTAATGTACATCATATATTTTTTTAGTTTTATCATTCTCTTATTTTAGAAGTTACAGGGAGGGGGATATACATTTTACCACTTTGGAAGTGTCTCTCGCGCAAACTATTCAGTTTAGAAAAAAATGATATAAGAAACCTCAATATTATTTTTGAAGACCTATCCATAGATATCCATGTATGGGTTTGATGGAAAAAAAAATTTTGAGTTCTAAGTATGGGGAACCCCCAAAATTTATTGTTTTTTTCTATTTTTGTGTGAAAATCTTAATGCGGTTCACAAAATACATCTACTTACCAAGTTTCAACAGCATAGTTTTTATAGTTTCGGAAAAAAGTGGCTGTGACATACGGACGGACAGACAGACAGACATGACGAATCCATAAGGGTTCCGTTTTTTGCCATTAGGCTACAGAACCCTAAAAATGTAGTACCTGTCCAGACGGGCTACTAGACAAAAAACGAATCCACCTAGTAATCACTTTGGGGTATCTACAATATGTCCACAATCAGTTATTAATAACAAATCCAAAAACCGCGTAAAAATGATGCGCAATTACGCGAGCAACTCGGTTTCGATCCCCGCCGGCACCAATGAAATTGTTAATTGCAATTTTAAATATCGTGAGGAAACCTGTCTGTGAAATAAGAAAAAAAATTTCGAAGACATGTGAAGTTCGCGAACACGCATTGGGGCAGAGCGGCGGACATTTCTTTGCCCTAAAACCCTCTCAGAAATTAGGGGATACCTGTGCCCAGCAGTGGGACGTGTATATAGGCTGTAATTAACTAACTAATCCAAAATCATACGTTTTCCTGTATGAATTTCAAACTGATACATCATCAACAACAATTTCATCATCACCATCATCAGCCTGTAGCATGTCGACTGCTGGACAAAGACCGCTCCTAAAGCACAAACAATCTGATAAGACATAAAATAAATTAATATTGTTAAACTTACGCTCAGCGAGGAACCTGCTGAACAATTTCTTAAAGCCCTGGAACTCCTTGTGCATCTGCGGACGTCTGGTCTCCGGTATGGTAGACAGCAGGCGCTCCAGCTCCACCTCGACCCTGGCGAGAGCATCTCGCTTTGTTGCCTCTTTGAAGTCCCTCGAGCCCGATGGAGTGCGTTGATGACTCCGAATCTAAGAATATAGAGTTACTTTAGAGCTTAGAAACAACTTAGTAGAGAGATGCTGCGGCTATATTTTTGTTGTAGCACGAATTGGTCGTCTCGACCTGGGAAGGATCACGCTCTTACAGAATACTAGCGTAAAATAGCAGGTCAAAGCTGCTGTTTTGCGTATGGTGAGTGTAGAAAACTTGAGATACTTTTTTATTGGAAGCGTGGCATTCCATCTTAGCCCTCAGATGTGGCAAAGCATCTGCGTTATGTTTTTTAATCGATGATAGATGGAGAGAACCTGAGAACCTTTTACGGGAAACGAGGCATTCCATCTTAGTCCTCACGGCTGACAACGCATCTGCATTTTGATTCTTAAATGAGGATAGATGTAGATGTCTATGGGCCACAGCAACCACTTACCATCAGGTGGACTGTGAGCTCGCCTGACACTCTTATTTAAGCACTAATTTAGGCACTTTTAACACAGCACTGTTCTTATTATTAATACACACAATAATCTTGAACCATTTATTACTTATTTCTACATATATTACTGAAATTTTCAGAAATTGATAAAGGTTATTTTTATAGTACATTATTTAGACACTGCTTAAATCCCACACAACATGAACAACCAATCTGTACATGACCCTTATCGTATCAGTAGGAGGCTAGTGCTTTCTTTGTCTAAATTACAACTATCTCGGTTCATTATGAAACATTACTTGTTTACATGTGCTATTCTTATCTAGCCATTATGTATCTTATCTCTTATCACAAGAACAAAGTATGTTTTTATCTAAGATAAGTATCTTAATTAAATCAATACTTTTATTTGTATTGCATAACCGATTACTATGCAACACATGACTATAAATTAATCCATAAACAAATATTTGTGGAATTAACCCTGAATTCTCGTTTGACAATTATATTGAATCTATTATTCGGAATGTCTTATATGATTTAATAGCAATAATTTTAAAATACGAATTTATTTATTTTTTATGAAATGAAAAATGACATCTATTTTCTAAGCGCGTCGCCAACAACTATTATGATTGTTGTGGAAACTTAAAATTTTTATACTACTAAAAATTACATGATTACAATATGATACTACATAGCGCCTGGGAATGAGGTGATCGCTACCATGATGTTTCTAAATGTTTTCATATTTAATTGTTCGACATATTAAAAAAGAAATTGTACGTATTTAATTGTTCGACATATTAAAAAAGAAATTGTAGGTCTTTAGTCTCGCTGGGTTTCTTACTGTTTCAAGGATAAGAACATCTTAGCTTTATGGATGTATTAACTCATTATAGTTATCTTTTATATCATCTATAGATGCAGGTGGCTCAGGACCGTGCTTTGTGGCATTCCTTGGAGGAGGCCTATGATCAGCAGTGAACTTGTGAAGAGCTGTAATGATGATGATGACGATGAAGCAAAACACCGCAAGGTAAATAAAATTAAAATTAACCTTAAAAGCTATCATTATTTATGTATTATAACGTAATATGTGTTTGTAATTATGTGTCTGTAACTGTTGTAGTGGTTTGGGATGGGAATGTTAAAACTTTCGGTACCCCTGATCCAGTTGAAAAACAGGGGTCCGCAACCTTTGTTTGCGTGGGTTCACAATGTTTACTTAGCACGTAATTTTTGTTTGTTATCTAATATTTGTTTTAAGGTAACCTTAATACCTGGAAACTGAAGAGATAAAAAAGCGACTACTCACTATACAATGACGGCAGCAAACCTTATTTCTTAGTAAACATAACGAAGATAAGCTGTAGCAATGTGTACCTAATCAAGCAAAACGCTTACAGATAATACAACTTTGGGCTTTGGAGCTATTTTTTTTGTATGAGATAGGGTGACAAACGAGCACACAGTCCACCTGATGGTAAGTGGTTGCTGTGACCCACAGAATTCCACATCTATCCTCAATAAAGAATCACAATGCAGATGCGTTGTCACCCGTGAGAACTAAGATGGAATGCCTCTTTCCAGTAAAAAGGGTCTCCGGTTCTCTACACTCACCATACGAAACACAGCAGTGTTAAGCTGCTATTTTACGCTGGTATTCTGTGTGTCCTTTCCCGGTCGAGCCGACTCATTCGTCCTACAACTATACTACCAATATAGCTGCAGCATGGCTCTACCATTCTTAATTATGTCTCGGACCTTCTTCCGTTTTGTTTTTATTTTAATTAACCGACTTCAAAAAGGAGGTATTAAATTCGATTGTATTTTTTATGTGTGTAATCTCATAACTTTTTTTCTAGGTGAACCAATTTTGATTAATCTTTTTTTATTTGAAATCTGGTGCTTCTCATGTGGTCCTATATAAATTTCACCTTACCATAAGATATGAACGGCATTTTTTGTTCATCAGTTATATATATATATATATTATAATATAAAATAGGTCAAATCTGCACTAAAACCGAATCCGCACGCCCCGACTCCACGTAGGTTTGTGTGTGTGTGTTACTTTTTTATCTCTACATAGTATAAAACAAAATCGCTACCCACCGTCTGTACGATTAGATTTTTTAAACTACGCAACTGATTTTGATGCGGTTTTCATCAATAGACAGAATGTTTCAAAAGGAAGGTATAAATGTATAATAAATTCATATTTTTTGTGCGTGTTTATGTGACTGAACTCCTCCTGAACGGCTGGAGCCATTTTGATAAAATTTTGTATGTGTGTGTGTGATTAAGTTGATTTGAGAATGGTTTAGATTCACAATTGGACCTGGTAGGTGGCGTTGTTGTCGAGATCAGAAATCAACCATGCGAAACCTGGACTAATCGCTAGTTACTTTAAATTTACTATTAATTTTATTAACCTTTTGAGAAGACAAGAATATCACAAGAATGTCGTCTAAATAATTACATTAAAGGCGTCATCCCCAAATTTTCCTTTTAATGGAAATTTTCTTTATTTTTTTTTTAATGAAATGTACTATTGAATTATTGAAATAACTAATTCCTATTAACCTTAGAAGGTTATTCGCATGATATTAAGACATGAACAACCATTTTTGAAATGTTTGTCTGTGTGTATGTCCGGAATAATCTTCGGAGTGTAGAGAGCCAGTGTATAGACAACGCATCTGTAGATTTTGTTTCAATTTGTCTATAGATGCACATGGACTGCAGTAGTCATACCCTCTGGTCGACTGAAAGTTCGTTTGTCACTTCAGTTTATAAAAAAAAACGATATATATATACGATAAGTGTACGTTTTTTACGTGGTAGAGCCATGCTGCAGCTATATTAATAGCATAGTTGTAGCACGAATGGGTCGGCTCGACCGGGGAACGACCACGCTCTCACAGAATACCAGCGTAAAATAGCAGCTTAACACTGCTGTGTTTCGTATGGTGAGTGTAGGGAACCAGAGACCCTTTTTACTGGAAAAGAGGCATTCTATCTTAGTCCTCATGGCTGAGAACGCATCTGCATTTTAATTCGCAAACGAAGATAGATGTAGATGTCTATGGGCGACAGTAACCACTTACTATCAGGTGGACTGTGTGCTCGTTTGTCACCCTTATTCTATAAAAAAAAAATACAATATCTATAGAAGACCTCAAAAACTTCACAAGCGTTAATTTTTGTTAATATTTCTGCGTATTACAAACAGTGCTAAAATTGTTTTCTGGTAATAAATATGCGTAAAAACTCAGACCAAGGGCGGTAAGTAAAGATGTCGATTAAAATATTGCGTGTAATAGATGTATTGATAAAACAGCTGACTCACAATGATTATGTTTGTTTTAAACAGTTTATTATTCAAAAGGGTTTTACACAAGTTTTTACACCAAATGTGACAACGATGGTCATGCTTTACAGCACCCGAAACGTCGGGACTTTAATAAAAATAAGTTAATTAAACGCGATAGTACTCGTATCCGTAAAATTAGTTTTATTCAATGTGAAATATAAGAAATCATTATGACAACGATGTTCTTGTGACAAATTTGACGGCTCCGTGGCGCAGTGACTTAGCAATGAGTGGTTGCGCTGGGGGCCGCGGGTTCAAATCCCGCACGGAACAAGTATTTGTATGGCCTACAAATAATTGTTCCGGGTCTGGATGTTTGTCCTCTTCTTCTCTTTGGTCAAAGCTATTGTCTAGTGTCTACATAATACACATATACATAACATATATCCATACACACACACACATACATACTTACACCCTTACCTACACATATACATACATTAGCATTACGTCTGTCTCCCAGTCATCATGGGTAGCGATTAGTCTTCATTTTTCAATATCCTGACACACCTATCTTACCCATAACTTTCGCTTTGCTTACACTTAATTTCATTCAACATTCGACCTGATAGACCATCATTTTCATGCATCCTTTACATCTTCTTTAAAACATTTTCTCCTATTTATATGATCAAAAGGCTCGTATAACACGTGAACAAACACTCAGATTCACAAAAATAAATTATACAAATGTTTGTCCAGTGCGTGAATTGATCCCTGACCGCTTCAAGCCAAACGCCAAACCAACGTGATTCGAAGCCGTGTTAGTTTTTACGGGTTGACTTTAACACTTTCACTGTCCGGTTTTCAGACGATAGTAAGACAATAGCAATGAACTATATGTAGTACACGGGACAGCGAAAGGGTTAATAAATAATAAGTATAAAGTTTAAAATAAAACGTTGGAATCTTAATTTTTAGGCGATAGTAGAACATACCTTACGCTTTCGCTTAAGGCATGCAATACAACCTTACGAACGGAGTAAATTGAGAGAAAACTACATATTAGTGCCATTTGCTGTAAAAACTATTGGTCCGTGGGTTCCAGGAGCGGTGAAGTTCCTTAAGGAACCATCCGCAAATTTTCGTCGTCGCTGGTGGTAAAAGGGCTGATTCTTTTTGCGCTCTTGCAGCGCGGAACCGCAAGTAACGTTCTTGACACTATACAGCAGGGAGTAAAACTGTATAATAATTTAAATTTTTAGCTTTTTCAT